CAGTTTTGAATCCTGACCACAGGTATCTTTATGGAGAATACTGCCTGCAATCTCCCACACTGCACACTGGCTTTTAAGCAGAAATGAGCCATTTACCTGTGTTTCCCATATGCTTCATTTCATGTACATTCTCTTAGCCCAGTGACATTTTCCTGTATTGATACCCCTTACTCTCTTTTTTAATAGTCCTTAGTCTCTCTAGTTTGCCTTTTTCTCTGGAATGTAACTTCTTTCATTTACACTTACTTGAAGTTTCTTTGCTTTCTCTTAATTTTCTTACTCAGATATGCATTTCCCCTAAGTTTTTGTATCTGCCTCATACAGTGTCTCTTCGTAGCCAGCTTAGATCTTCCCTAGCACATCCAAATGCCACTTACAGCCTTATCAGTGAGCTAAAGGAGAACTGGATAGCTGGATTGTGTCAGCAAGCTTCTTCTAAAAAGCTGTGAGGAAAGTGCAGAGGAAAGGGAAAAAGGAGCAGAAACTGTGGCAGAGTTTTGAAGGAAAACTAATGAGCTTTGAAAACCAGCAGAAATATCTTCAATCTTTGACAGATTGCAACCTTGGTTATTTACTATGGGAAAGAAAATAGACCAGGTATCTAGAAATGCAAGTATTTAAGAGAGCAACCATGAAAAAGGAAGCTGAAACTATCAGGCCAGGTTTTGTCCTGGGACAAAAAAAAAAAAAAAAAAAAAAAAAAAAATCCGTATTTCGTTAATTTAAAAACAGTCTGTCATTTTTTGGACCAGTATTTCCCAAATGCTTCTTTTTTTCAAGTGGATAGATGTTGTTCCAGACACTGGTTAGTGGCTGGCACCTGCCTTCAAGGCGAACAGAGCTGCTGGTCTGAATCTGTGGCAGACAACCAGAGCCTCTCATGCCAAGTGACAGTGAGCTAGGACTTAGCTGCATCTGACAAAGGTTTCAAACAGGAAAAGGATAACTGGAAGCTATGCATATGAAGCAGTAAAAGATGAAGGTGAGATGAAAGTTTATTTGATGTTACTGGCTTAGTCTTACCCCATTGCCCAGACAAGTTGTGGACACCCCAACAATGGAAGTGTCCAAGGCCAGGAACTGAGCCTAGTAGACAGCATCCCTGCACATGGCAAGGATGTTGGATCTAGATGGACTCTAGGGTCTCTTCCAACACAAACTATGCTCTGATTCTGAGTTTTTTGTCCTAGGTGGATACAAATGCTTGTCTGTATGTAATCTAACTGAACAACTGCAATGGCCACACCTCACTTTCCCTCCTCTGCCTAATCAGCCAGCCTGTTCTTCCATGCATTCACAACCCTGCAGCATCTAAAGTTTAAAAAGTGTATTAAGCGTGTTCTGATCTCACTGCTAATTAATAGTGCAATGTGTTCATAATGGTTCAACGTGTAGTTATTTTAATAATTCTTGAGTATCCAATTCTAAACAATTTTTTCAAGTAAATTAAGCAGTAATGACTTCACTATTCAATGAGATGCTTCAAAGTTAAGGGTATTATAAACAAATTATACAAGCAGCTAAAGCTAGGTGGAAGCTTATCTCTCAGATCTCTGGCTGCAGTATCCTTAAACTGAATCCACTTGGTTTTGCAGTTGTAGAATTATCAATAATCTCAACTTCACCTACCTAAAGCTCTATTAAAAACTTTCAAGAGACAGCCACTAACAGTGTCCTGATTAGCACATCACCTTGGAGGTGCTTGTAATGTGCTCAGTGTACTGAAAACAACAGGAAAAAATTCATTAATATATTAATTTATTTCATTTCAGTTTCAGTTCAATTGAACATCAGAGCAGACAACTTTTTCCTTTGTGACAATACAGGGAATTTTTGAAACACTGTATTTCCATGTTTTACAAAGTATGTCTGAAAAATCAGATTATGGTTTCAAGCATATTACTGTATAGCTTGTCAGGGAAGAGGCTACAGTTAGGAACTCAGCCTAGTGCTTTAGTATAGTTTATGATTTCAGACATACTTTTCACCTAACATATTAAAAAATAGAGCTTTAGAAGAAAACATGATTTTAAGTCATGTCATCACAGTGTTGGGTAGCTAGAGACATTACTTAATAAATATTTCTGACAATCTATTAAGAATTCACAATATTAGATTTTAGACTAGGTATAGATCACTTATATTTTGTCTTTAGACAAAATCTATTACCTGCAATTTGAAGTATAATATATACACAGGTTCCAAAACAAATGGTGGAGGAATTCTCATAGAAAATGTAACTGTGATGTTGTGGACAATTTTTTACATTAATATGTCCTTATCTCTGCCACGTACGTTACTCAAATTTTATTCTGTTTCCCTAGGAAATATTTTGTTGTCCATTACATCACAAGTTCGTATATTTAAAAAAGTTGATTGAGAACAATTGAACTACTGCATTATGATGTTATGTCTTAGACATACTTCTTGATTTCATCATAAAGTACTAATACAAAAGCTCCGCCCATGCCTCTCAATACATTCGACCAGGCACCCTTGAAGAACGCTTTGGATCCTTCATCTTTAGCTATCTTCCTCCAGCAATCAATTGTGCCCTTGTACATAATATCAGCTGTGGAAACAAACATAAAGGTTAGAAGGCTTGAAGTTATACAGCAAGTATGTTTCAACTGTTGTATCTTTAAAACAACAAGGAATAAGCGAAGTACAGCAAGGATTTAAAATTCAGTAATCAATTAAGGAAAATTAATTCTCCATAGGAAATCAAGTAATTTCTCAGTCCTTTAGATCAACATGATAGAAATAACCAGCAATGTGTTCCCCATAGATTTTTTTAAAGACTCCAATAAGGAAGGTTATCAATTTTCCATAAGACGAAAAAATACCCAGTATCTTATCTTATTCTGATGAAGAAAAACTTTCTGCAGCCAAAACCACTTATTCTTACCTCCCTTTCGGCCAGACTGCATCATCATCCTACGTCGCACAGTATCAAAAGGATAAGAAACCAGCCCTGCCACTGCAGTGACACTCTGGGCAATCATCCAGCTCACTATGATGTGCACATTCTTTGGATCAGGCAACATACCTGTCATCAAGAACAAATGAACAGAATCAGTACAGAGGGAAAGGGCTGTGGGAAGCATGGCTGTAGAAGGAATAAGCACCCACCAACCCCAGAGTCAATCCAAACCCAAGGCAATTCAGAGCAGCAAGTAGAGGGAGGTAGGAATGCACGTCAGAAACACCTGTGCACATTTCTAGCTCTGCACTCAACTGGTGCTGAGCCAAGCCCTGCTCGTCCTTGTATTGCCAAGTGCCCTAGAGCGCCTTTACTGAATGGATCTTCCCTTGCAGTCACTCCTCCATGAACTTCTTACCCTTGGCCGTATCGTATACCCCAAAATAGGCTGCTCTGTAGATGATGATGCCCTGGACAGACACACTAAATCCTTGGTACAAGCCCTTCAAGCCATCAGACTTAAAGATCTTGACAATGCAGTCGCCCAGGCCAGAGAACTCCCTCTCAGTGGCTCCTTTGCCCACATCAGCCGCCAGCCGGGTCCTGGCAAAATCCAGCGGGTAGACGAAGCAGAGGGAGGTGGCTCCCGCGGCACCCCCGGACGCAAGGTTTCCTGCGAAGTAGCGCCAGAACTGCTTGTGCTTGTCCACTCCGCCCAGGAAGATCTGCTTGTACTTGTCCTTGAAGGCGAAGTTAAGGGCCTGGGTGGGGAAGTACCGGATGACATTGGCCAAGTTGCCTCTCCAGAAGGAGGCGATGCCCTGCTCCTTGGGGATGCGGACTATGCAGTCCACGATGCCCTTGTACTGCTTATCGGCCGTGATCTGTTTGCTGGCATGCTGGACCTGCAGGGAGGAAGGAGGAGGGCGGCACGGTGAGAGACGGGCACCGCAGGGTGACCCCGCACGCTGAAGGGCACGGACGGGGCCGGCCCAGCTCCCGGCACCGCCAGGCGGTGCTCAGTGTCCCGGGCAGCTCCCGCGTAACCGGAGCCGGCCGAACTCCTTCCCATATTTAGTCACGCCGGGCAGCGCCCGCCGAGCCGGCACCACCTGTGGCGCGGCACCGCCGCCCCCCGTCGCCCCCTCACCTGCAGCAGCAACTTCACTCTCTCGATGGGGGCGACAGCCGTCTTGGAGACGGCGGCGGCGATCCCGCCGGCCAGAAAGTCCTTGACGAAGCTGAGCGCTTGGTCACCCATGCCGCGAGCCGGTCCGACAGCCCCGCCCGGAGAGAGGCAACGAGCGGACGCTTCCCCACCCCGCCGGACAAATGTCCCCGCGGCCCGCGCCGCCCCGCTTATAGCCCGCGGCCTCTCGCGATAGGAGGAGGCGCCCCCCCGGGCCGCGGGCATTGGCTGCGGCCCGCCGGGCCCGCCCCGCCGTGTTCCCCCGAGCGGCGGCCGCGAGGGACGCGGGGCCCGGGACGTTTAAAGGGCAAATTAAAGTTATCTGGTGCCTGCTGGGGAACGCGGTGTCACAGCATGTGCCCGCTGTATTTATAGCTCCCGGGAGGCACCGGAGGGAAGATGGGGAGCCGGCAGGAGCGCTTCAAGCCGTGTTAAGCGTTCCGTGCGGGCGAGAGGCAGCGGCTGAGGGCTGAGAGCCCGCCCGGAGCGGTGTGAGGAGAGGAGAGTGCGAGCAGCGCGCAGGGAGTGCATAAGCCTTGCCCTCATGCGCGTGGAGTCACGCAGAGAGGGCCGCCATGGGTGTCGTGCCCAAAAAGCAAAGCTCCCCAGGGATGCACCGCCAGCCTGGAAGGTGGTGCTGTGTTCAAAGGCATCAAGCACCAGGACTGGACTGGACCTCTCTTGAGTCAAGGCCAGAGAGCCGCTTCATGCTGTACGCACTGTGTGGGGCTTGCAGGCATCGAGATCTTTAAATACCCCAGCATGCGCTGGGACTCGGCTTTCCCGAGGAGGAGACAGAATGCCTTTCTGCATTGTACCCTCCTTTCACCCCTGCAAGGTCAGACCCTCGCAAGACCCACAGGCAATCAATCCCCTCTTCAGAGAGAGAGAGAGAGGGAAGGGAGGAGACTGGAAGCCCATGCCCAGGCAAGCTGAAATTGCTTGACTGGCACCAAGTGTGAAAGAAGAGTAAAGGCTGTAGTGAAGCTGCCTTTACGCAGCATCTGGTTCTTAGAAAAATGTTTGGGTCGCAAATGAAGATGAAATGGCTCCCCCATTAGTTCCTTATCTGTTCTTTCTGGCTGACCCCCATAAGAAAACAGTGGTTTATGATTCATTGACTTAGTTGTGTGGAATGGTTATGTAAAAGGCAGTGCAGGAAGGTGTAGGTGCATACCAAGGAGTTTGCCCTACAGAGCTAATAAGACAGAAAAATGTTATACCAAGGAACTCGTAAGGGTCTCTTTTATTTTGGTAATATGGTATCAGTAATGAAAATAGAATTCATCTTAATGAGATGCTAAAATCTTGGCTGTTCCACAAAAAGACATTCTATACAGGGCAGTGCATCTCTTCTCACAGTGTGTGTGTTAGCATGAGTCAATGGGATGGTACATTTGATCCCGTCTCTCTTGCCCTCTGCTGCTCTTAGGTCTGTTGAGGTCTCTTCTCATGAGCCTCAAGTGTGAGAAGTGGATGCCAGCTGTGATTTCCAGAAGCACCCTTTGTACCTTGGCCTCCTGAGAAGATGGAGCTTTTCCCCAGCTTCTAAGAAAGGGAACAAGAGCTACCCACCAAAGAGATATTTTCCCAAGCAAGGACCAAAAGCAGGTGCATAGGGGATTCCCTAGAATTAGGCTGAGTTGAAAGGAGTTTTATTTAACATATGTGGCTGCCTGCTACCTTTGACCTTTCCTTTTTTCCCTCATACTTCACTCACCAGGTCTGGTGTCTCCTCTTTTCTCAGGAAAGCAAACACCCCTTTAACATTTTGAGGCTTCTGCTGCTGGTTTCACACAGACCCCTGGGATAATGATGCTCACAGCTGCTGCCTGACTACACACACTGGTAAGGTCTCCTCAGCGTGTGCACTCAGGTGTCGACCCTGCCGACTGGGGTGTGGTGAGTGGGAGATGGGAGAGTGGTGGTGGGATGCTGCTGGGGAGGAAAGGCGGGGGGGTCTGAAGTAAGCCTGGAGTGGGGGTCTAGCCTGAAAGGATTGTTTGCCAGCCCCTTCCCCACCATCTTTGATTTAGATTGGTGGAGGGTTTTAATTATTTTTTAGGTTATTTAAATTGTTGGTGCTTTTAAAATGACATTTTAATAAAGTCTTTATTACAAGAATTCTAGTTAGTTTTTGAAGCTGTTGTTGGGTATCATCATCACATCCAGAGAGATTGTTTCATCTGATATTTCTGTAGCAGTAATATTGTTTAACCATAACTGTCAGTATTTAAAGAAAGGAGTGCATAGCAAGTGAGTTGCTACTTATTCTGCTTCTGCTCTCCCTTCTCTGAGCCCACATATCTATTTCCAGGAGATACTTTGCTTGCAAACAGTTTTAACAAAAGCAGGGCTGGACCAGGACATGTGTTGGCTACTTTGAGAGTTATTCTTAATTCATTTAATTTTTGCTCCAAATGCCTGATTTGGATCTTTCCTATGTATGATGATGAGGGGCAGTTTGCTACTTAGTGTAGGAGTTCAAACATATTCTGTAAGGAATTTACTGCTAACTCTACCTTGAGCATAAGCATTTCCAGAACTAGCTGGAAATGTCTTTAAAAAAGCTAAATAACCTTTGGTTTTCATACAGTTAGTTGGTGTTTGTTATTCAATATTCTGATACTTTCCTAGAGAAATGGTTAAAACAGTCCTGAAAATGCAATGTCTCTGAATTATTGAAAGCAATCTGTCAAGCTTCATCTTCCTTAGATCTTTGCACCTTTGGATGGATTTTTTTTTTCCTAGACTGAGTTTGTGGGTGGTCTGCACTGCTGACATAGCATAAAGACACTGCATTTTGTTCTTAACAATTCTGAGCTAAAAATAACCTAGATCTACATTTTTGAGAGAGATTAGTGACTGCATTGTGCTTTGGTGTGTGAATAGCCAGCTTGAAACACTGCAGGAGATCAACTTTTCCAAAGTAGTGCATATCCTTGATAACTTACATATCCAAGACACTGGAAACCTTAGCCCTGAGGCTAGGCCAGACACAAAATATAAAAGCTTTTCATCAAAAGTCAGCAGTCCGAGCCTGATGGCAGACACCAGGGGGAGCACAAGAAATCAGTCAGAACATCCTGACTCCCAGCCTAGACAGAGGTGAGTAGACAGAGTATTGGGAAGATGCCAAGAAGAAATATGTTGTTTTTTTCAGGAATGATTTGTGGAGTTGTGGTAAGTTCTCATTTTTAAGATTGATGCATATTTGAATTCAGAAAGAGGAGAGTAAGAGACCCAGAACAGAGCTAATTGAGGCTAAGGGTTGAAGAGGAATAATGATGTTGGTGATGACAAAGGAGATCAAGAAGGACAAAATAGTGCGAGCTTTGAGTTTGTTTTGGGCAGGTATTAATGAGGGTTATTTTATCTGGGCGTTGGTATTACCTGTCTTAAGAGCTTATATTGAGCTGGAGAGAGGGAAAATTGGACAGTAAGTGTAAGCGCACTTTGAGAAGTGTTAGTGCTGGAAATAGCAGTAAGTGTCAAGGTGTGTTTGTTTATTAGAGCATGTCTGTAATGTGAGGATGAGGAGTTGGAGGAGGGTCAGTATTTCGGAAGAAAACCAAGGAAATGGATAAAAATTAGTATGAAACGGACCAGGAGTTTCTGTTGTAACAGGACAAGCATGGGGCATAGAAGTAGGAGGAAAAAAACACCCAGCCTGTGACACAGAGAATAAACTTGTAGGAAGTGAGCATATTAATATTTCCTTTGGCAAGGATTTGTTCCTTCCTCCAAGGCCGAGGATGTTCAGGAAGAGAGCTCTTGAAAAGTGCTTCATTTAACTTGGAAAAGTAGGAAGAAAATCTATAAGAATGGCACAACTGGAATGGAAGACAGTTAAATGGTTGTGGATGAAGTAAACCTGGTCACAGATCAGCCAGGAATTTGAAGCTGGGCAGAGTTATGTGTTTGGCAATCATACTTCGTAATTCATAAGATAGGAGTGGAGAGTAAGAAACAGAGCAAATCTACAATCAGTTTGTGCTAGAAAAGAAAGATAAAGAAGGAGGAAGGGGGCTGAGATTGGATGGGATATTCTCAATCTGATGAGATGAAAATAATGGAAAGGGCAAGTGAGATGATATGAGGAAGGACATGGCAAGCAAGGGAAAAGATCAGAGAGGAAGGATGGGGTAACAGAGGTCAGGGAAAAGCAATTCTTACTGCAGACCATGTCAAAAGAATGGCTCTTTCAGGGAGTAGAACACGAAGTGAGAGGTACAGGGGAAATGAGTGGGCCAAGGCAAGGAGACATACAGGTGACTGCTACAGAGTGCCACCAAGGACATGGAAGCTTGGAAGCTTCCTGAGGATGAGTGTGAGAAATTGTGAAGAAGGGAAGAAAGTCAGTTGAAATCACAGAAGGCTGTTCAGGAGGAGCTGGCTAACTGGCTGGCAGTTCTTCAGAGCAGAAAAGAGCTGAGATACTTCTCAAAGGCAGACAAAATGTGATGGGGATGGTGAGGGTAGCCTCAGTGTGAGAGTAAGGGGTGGGATGGGATGGAGAGAATGGAGGTCTCTGTAAGAGACTGATTCTGCAGAGTCAGGCAAGGGCATCCAGAATGTGTGGACACTGGGATTTAATAGGTGTGTGGGAAATATTTAATGTGTATCTCCCAGCTGCAGCAACTGAGAAGAAAGGAGAGTGGACCAGGTAGAAGGATAGAACAGGAATACAAGAAGGGCCAGTTGAGCAATGGTAAAGTCTAGAGAGTGGGAATAGAGAGGTGTAGGTGTGGAAAACAGCACCAAGGAGGCAGCGTGAGGGGTAGGGCTCATTGCCTCAGGTAGATTGTTTAAGAAACAAGAAGCAGCAGCTGAAGAAATAAAAAGGGAGAGAGGAAACCAGACTGGGGGAGGTTGAGTAGAGGAGTACAGAAGTAAGTTGCAGCAAGAAAGCATGTGAGAGATGTGGAGAAATAGCCCACAGGTGAGGTTAACCAAGACAGACTGAGTCTCCCTGGTCTGCAGTGACTGGTTTCCTCTTGTGCATGTGTGTGGACAGGCATGTTATACTTTTGACATTCCCTGTTGACTGAACTAATAATGAAAGTGTGTATGTTAACTGAATGTCTTCTACCACATCAAAAATTGCCCTGGTGAAGGCAACTTACCTAAGGTTAATATGTTTTTTTCAATTTTTAGTGCTTCATTGGGCTCACTAGTGGCCACTCTGAGGTACTGGAGAAGGCAAAGATCACTGGAAAGAGTGGGGTGTGAAGAACCAGGGAGAAGGGAAACAAATCAAGCACCAATACTGCAGGATTTGGTTCCTCATCAGAGATTTGTTTATTTCACACAGGTTTCAGATTCTTAGAGCAACAGAACTAAACCAGCAGCTATCTGGTACTCAAACCAGACAAGCACTAATTTCTGCTACTCTAGATGTTTGAAGAATTGCAATCACAGTCTTTATTCTGAAATTAATTTCACTTCTCTATAGGACTGTACAGTAAATGCTTGGTATGCTGTAGACACAATAACACTTCTGCTAAGATTCAGAACTCCAGTGGTTTTTCCTCATAGGTCTCAACACACCTTGAGAACAAAAATCATCCTTTATGTCACAGGTGTGCATTACAGTTAGTGGATTCTACAGTCTGTCATAAACATTTACAGTACTCTAGAATATCTATTAATTGATCATTAATGCAGTCATGACATAAACATAACAGTACACAATACAGATTTTGGTGAACTTGTAAAACAGAGGTATTATGGACAGTTTGCAAGCCACGTATATAAGCAAATTAATGACTTGTTAGACTCCATAATAGTTAATTTACTACTTATTAGCTCTTCTTTGGTAAATATATTTTGATATAAAGCACAACTCATTATCCTCAGACTTCATTTAGGAAGAAAAGACAAAGACAAGTGAAATGACTTTCTCAAGGTCATTTTGTCAGTGTGTGATATAGTAAGGCATGAATAGAGCTTTCCAAGTTTTGCCAGACCTCTTTTGCACATGCCATTGTATTAAAAGTCAAGATTATATTTGTTCCAATAATACCACTAAAACTTATTCAAAACAAGCCTAAAGAAAAATTTGAAAGCCTACTTTGCAGCTGGAAGTAATGTTGTACTTTTTTTTTTGGTGTAGATCTCTGCAGAAAATAATTTCTTGAGTAATTTCCAAACATGTTTCATTACTTGGTGGAATGTATATCCCTTCTTGGATTCAGTGATTTTCAGGTTTTGTGCTTCCAGGAAAAAAATAGATGCTGAGAGGATCTGTGATGTTTATATATTAATTCTTTTTAAAAATTCTAGTTTAAACTAATTTTGCATGGAAGAAATGAGATCTGGAGAATGTTGTGTTCTGTGCAAAAACTGTGACCTTCAGGGCAAAGTTTGCCTCCCAAGAAAAGTCTATACTTCCAGGGTCTTAATTGTTATGTTTGATAGATACTTGAGGCTTCATTTTCCCACTTGCTAGCTTGAAATATTCTATTTGCCGTAATTTTTTGTCTTATTTTCCTGAGATAGAAGTTGTGCTAAGAGATAATTAGCATTGTGCTTTGCTTTTCTGCATGTTCCAGTTCATTGCCAGCGATATGCCTGTCATGGTGTTCACCAGATCTCTTGGAAGGTGTGACAGCTGCCAACAGTATCAGCAATGCCTGGGCAGGTGTGTGTCAGAGCAAAGCCAGGCTATGGCTGAAACCCTCTGTGTTTTCCATAAGACACAATTTTCTTTTGCTGCTAGTGAGTAACACACCTAAGCAGTAACATTTCAAATGTGTTTTGTGTCCTTATCAGGAAATAAAGTTCTTCACCGAGTTTTCCTGCTTACCTAGTGGGGTTTTTTTAATGTTTGTTTGTTTCCAAACTGGAGAAATGCTGGGTTGGGTGAATGCAGAATTCAGATGCACCTGCTTAAGTTCCATGACCTAGAAAACAGGTCTGATTTGTTTTCAGAGCTTGGCAAAACAAAGCTATTAAAAAGTGAAAGTAATAATATCGACTGTCGCCCTGATTTTGTAAGACTTTCTTAAGCCTTCTGATGTTTGCATTCTTTCAACAAACTTTCTCACACACAGTTCTGTAAATAACCTATGTTTTGCATTCTTTCATGGCGGGGGAGAGAATTGATGGGCCCTTGGTCTGTCCAGTGGCATTGGAGAGGTGGCACTGTCACCCTCCAATCCACTGTCACCTTTGGAAAACTATAAATGTTGGAGTCAGAAAATAAAGTTCCTCTTTTTCTTCCTTTTTGTTCCCCTCGAGAGCAGCAGTGTCTGTGTCATCATTTCGTGCCGTATCACAACAATCGACTTTTCTGACCTGAAGTTTACAAGATGCTCTTCTTCAGAAAGTCTTCTGGGTTGGAAGAAGTCTAGTATGACACCCAGCCCACTTTGTGTAGTGCAACATTCTTTACATCATTTGTGCAGTCCCCTGTGTGATGACCCCCATGTTCAGCTTTCCATAGCTCTAGTGACTCTTGCTTAGTTTTCAATTGCCTGCCTCTTCTTGGAGTTGTAGGGACTTGTTCTTTCTTCTTAGGTCCACATAAACCAGTAATTACCATTTTAAATCATTCACACAACATTGGTGCAAGTCAGAGTATATAAGGAAATCTCATGTAGCGTTTCAAGTAGTTTTATTTTCTATTTTGCTCAAGCTTATTCTTCTAAATATTGTCTTAGTATAAATCTTAATGGGATAATGTAAGTCATTGCTCTCTTCAATTCAAGTTGGTCTCTGCTCTTTTCAATACATGTTTTTATCTTCCTTCATGTTGCAGTAATTTTGGAGTATCTAAAATTATTTAAGTTGATCTTATGTTATGTTTCTTTTGTTAATCTTCTGGTTTCTATTTTCTACATTGTTGCTGTGTGTGATTTAACTGTTCTAGGTGTTTTTAAAATCATTGTTTCAGACAGATTTGAATTGTTAAATTATTTAAGTGATTTGTTTTCCATCTGCTATTTCTGACATCTGGTTAAAATACAATAATTTTCTTTTTAATAAAAGTGTCAATATGGTTAGCCCTTGCTCAAGTTGTTACGTCTTCATTTTCAGATCTTTTGTAGAGTTTCTCACTGTGATTTTACTCTAGACTAGTCTTTCTTCTGTGAAATAGTTCATAATAGTTCATAATTTTCTTGCTGACAGTAATTTTATTTTCATATGTTGTAGGAAAAACTGAAATGATTTCTGACAGTAGTATGTATTTAACAGAATTACAGTTTTGTGCACAGTCAGATAACTGCACTGCAATAGCAAAACAAGGTAATAATGTTTTTATAATATAGAAACAACTTCATGCATTAAATGTGGATGTAATTTTTACGCATACTTGCTATAGCTATAAGCACAACAGTTTTAATAGAATTACAAGCTTATTTTCAAGTGAGAAATAAATAAATTGTATTACTTAGTGAATGAATCATCAAGTTTTTGTCACCCTACCCTGGTTGAATAGACCACAATAACATTGTTGTTATAATTCAAATTATATTGATTACAATGCCAGAAATGTTTTTTTAGTAAATTGAAATATTAATCTTTCTGTATTTTGCAAGAAAATGGCAAATTAAGGTCTGTTCCATGCCACACATTATTAAAATGCATGAAGAAAAAAAAGGTTGCTGAAAAGCCAATATCCCAGCAAGTGGGATGCTGATATTGAAGATGGCAACTGCCCTGCTAGACTGAGAAAACTGAGTGAGAAAGTCTTTAGATGCCAGAGTTTATGGTTTTTGTGGCATAAAAACTCATGTCCCTTCATGGGGTATTTCAATACTTCAGAACTCACTGTGGAAAAAGCCTAGTTTGAGTCCCAGCTCCAAAAATTCATTTGAATTTGAATTTTTCCAGCTGAGCTGGTATACGGGATATGAAAGGGAACAAATTATGGGGACAAAAGCAGAAGTCAGGAAACAATTAGATTATGTGGTATATTACCTCAGCTTGATAAAAAAAACCAATCTGTATTTCATTCATTCCTGGAGAATGACTGCCAGTTTCTGATTCACTGGGAATTCAGTTTAATACTTTCTTATAAATCTTAAGAAATAAACAAAGATACTGTATTGACATACATTCTTAAATGTTGCTGTATTATTTCAAATTTACATATATGTATGTACAGTTATGGGTAGGTATGAATGAATATATGCTGTGAAATTGGCTTGCAGTTCAGCACTGTAAAAGGAATTGTCCTATTGTTCCATTTAATTTCTTTTCCTTTGTAGTAATATACAGTAATGGAAGAAGTTGAGATTGAGCTGTTTTCTATTTTCCAGACAGCTCTAAAGGGATAGAAGACAGGGGTGTTCTGAGTGTATATAGTGAGGAAAACTGAGATGTTAGGAACAATGGTGCAGACATGAAACAGTCTTGAAACAGTCAGCCAGGGATAAATTATCTGGACCTTGTCAGTTACTTCCAGGATCATAGTGATGGGGGGGGGTCACCCAGAAGCTGAGTCTGCTGCTAGTTTGTGATTTGCCTTTCAGATGTTACAATGTTGTAGGTTGGCATCCTTTTTTTCTGCATAGAACTAGACCAGCGACTCAGAAGAAACAGTTCAAATAAAATAGATCTTTATGCAATTTAAAATATCCCTCTGGCTTCCACACATTTTTATCAATGCCGTGCTTCATTTTTTGAGGTGTTCTTGAAGTTGCAGGCTTTCTTGTCCACTACTAATAATCCACAGACAGAGCAAGCTAACACTAAACAAGTGAAAAATTATGAGACAGCAGTGTTGCAGGAACCCAGCAGCTTATTCTATACTTTTGTCTCCTCTTCTCACCTCTGCAAAATAAAATTTAAAAATCCAAACCGCCATAAGCAGAGCACTTCTCTTCCCCTTATTCCTCCACTTCTGAAACATACTCAGTTTGAGAGAAGAGAACCCATTGATGTAGTTTTGGGAAAGCTATCCTAAAGCCGTGCACTTTCTCCTACTGGGCACAGCTCGGCAGGGGAGGTTGCTCTCAGTTTTGAGCAGCAGTGATGTGGATGGGAGGAGGTTGATTACAGCAAGGGATGAGAAGCATGCATTTACATAGTCTCCTTTTCCCTGCCACCTCTCCACTCTCCAGCAAGCATGGGTTTATTTTAGCATTGGCATTCTGAAGCAGGATTAATTTTCCCCTGAATAGGTCAGGCTGGAGCATAGCCAGGAAACATGGCCTTTCATAGCTGGGGTGACTCAGGAAGGCAGAGATACCTACTAAGTAGACAGGGCCCATAACTGCTGGGCCAATGCCCAGTGCAAGAGAAGTATCCTGGAATAACCTTTGTGATAAACAGCAGAAGAGTCCGTATGGAGTCTTTTTCCAGAGGCTGATGCCAGGCTGAACCAGGCTGTAGTGCTGCCCTCTGCTGTTTCCATTCGGGGAAAGAAGTAATTCAGTGATGAAATCCCGCAAATCCGAAACAAAGTATGACCAGGAAAGCAGTAGCAGCTGAACGCGTGCTTTCAGCCTCACATTTCAGGCAGTGCTTCAGCCAGCTGAAATGTGCCCGTGTATCTTCACTAGCAGTTCTGTTCATAGTAACAGAATATAGATAATAGTTTTCTTATAAGTTTTAGCACTGGTAGGGCCCTTGTGGCTCTGCAAAACAACTTGTGACAGAAATCGTGCTTTTTGATGTGCTTGCTTGTATTTCAGTGTGCAGCGGAGATGCAGAGTAAGAAATTTCCATCAGTAATTCAGATTTTTAAAACTTTGCTATACTTATTATTATGTAGAATTATTAAATTCTCTACTTACACATATTTGATACAAAATTGTGTAGAAAGCTACAGCCATCTTGTCTAAATATGTGACACCTGTGTCTAGGACCTTTTTACCATAGCTAATCTATCAGGCAGCATGGAAGCAAAATAGAAGTAATCTGTCATCAGAACTAGAGGAAATTGCCATTAAGGGGTATTTCCTGTCCCTGATGCAGTATGCATCAGGGCCAGTCTGAGAGTCTGTGTAGCCCTGAGCACTTGCACATCTGCAGATGTCCCAGCAGCTGCAAGAGCTGTGCTTAGGGTTCTGCTCTGGAACACAACAGCTGGGCTGATTTCATGACCCTAATGAAGTAAATGAGCTTGTGGTGTATGATTCTGGAAACTCACTACTTTGCTTCACAAAGGAGGTGTTAATGTTAAGCTTTGATCCCATCTTAATGCTTGTATCTTTAAATGTGATATGCATGTTTCATTTTTGATACTGATTTTAAAATAGTTGCCTTCAATTTCTTTGTCACAAATATCCCATCCCGACTGTGTGGGATTTTGACTTAGCTATCAATGTGCCTGTGGCTGCCTTTCAAAGGAAATAAACTTCTTATTTTACAACTAATAAAAAAATCTATAAAATCAAAATAAATGCAGAACTGATCAGAACCTTGTGACTCAGCTAGTGTATCCTTCATTTTACAGTACTTGAGTTGACATGTAGATAAAGGCTCTGTGAATATCTGCACAGGGACAGGTGAATTCCAGCCTGCACCAATCCTACAGTGAAAGATTTGCTGAGAGTTTGTGGGCTCCATTGCTTGGAAAGTGGCAGCATCACTACGTTCATTTCAGGAAGGGGCATTTGCACAGACCATCATCCTTCTTTTATTAGGTGGCTTTTATATTTCCCAGGTATTTGGATACCAGGGTGGATCGATCTCTTTTTTTGTTTGTTTCTTGTTACTTTCAGTAGCTGTGCAGAGCCTCTTCCAGCAGAGTGCTCTCAGTCCCTTACAGAGGCAGACAAACCACAAGCAATGACCAATGGAGAAATCCTCAGTCTTTAGCACCTTTGCATTCCTCTTGAAGCTGCTGGATAAATGGTTTAAGGAACCAGTTTAGGTAACCAGGTGGAAACATCCCTGCACTTGGGGTTTGACAGCATGGGGAAAAACTGTATGTGGCTCTTAGCCTTTTTTTTTAATTTTTTAAAATTTTTTTAAGATGCTTCTCAGCTGGACTTGTGTGTTTCTCAGTGCTTTGTTCTGGAGGAGTGCTGGTCACAGAGGACCAGTTCAGAAGTAATTGTGTAGTTGTGTAGTCAGCAAAGTGTCCTAAATAATTCACTACTGTGCTCAGTTGGTTGTTTGAGATCTCTGATATGTTGTTTATATTAGGCAGTATTTCTGTAAACTCCATTTAGTCCTATGCCATTCCTGAACAGCATAGGCTGAACTTGTATGCCAGGAGGGGGAAGGGAGAAAATTATTCACTTACCATGTAGGGTGGGTAACTTTCTTAAAATGGAATTAGAGCCTTTCTCCAAGTGGAAGATGGACTCTGGTTAAAGTAGTTAAATCTTTTCACTAACCTAGGCCTCATTTGTTTTCAATGTGTATGAAAGTATGTTTTCTTAGTACTGTTTTGTCTTTTTTAGATTTTTCACAGGAATAACTGACAAATTAAAGAGAAGGGTGAACAATGAGCAAGAATTTCAGAAAGTGCTTGAGTACTGGTAAGAACAATTTTCTTTATTTGAAACAATCTCTCTGTGGGGACATAGAATTTTAACTTCGTAGGAGTGTTTCCTTCAGCACCCTTTTTCATAGTGCCTACGTCTGAATGCATTCAGGGCATTTGTGTTTCTGTATAAGGGAAACTGTGTTAATTAACTGGATTATTTAAGGGGCAGGGAAATAATGGTTTTTTCCAGTTTATTTTTCATTTTCAAGCCACAAATGGACAATACTCTGCTACCTCGTGATCCTCAGTATGCCCAACATGCTGATGACCTGAAGACTAAAAATCTGAAAATCTTTTCATTATTCGTAGTTCAGTCATGTTGGAGATTCTTGTCCTTTGTTCAGGATGGTGCCATAGCTATAACTTCAAATATCCTGTATCTTTAAGAGGAATATTGCATTACCATGTTTTGTTTGTGCTCCATTCTGAGTTCAGAGAGCAGTTTCTGCCATCTGTCTCTAAGAGGGAGATCTCAGCACTGCAGGAATGAGTTTGACAGCTCCTGATTATGCTTTG